GGGGAGGCTAGAAGACCTCTGAAGGCCCCATCTGTCATTCTCCAAGGCAGAGAAAGGGGGCTCCGCTAGAAGACCTCTAGAGGCCCCTTCTGTCATTCTCCAAGGCAGAGGATAGAGGGGTGTGTGCTAGACTAGATGGCCTTTGAGGGCCCCTTCTGTCCTTCTCCTCCAAGGCAGAGGATGGAGGGTGTGTGGGCTAGACTAGATGGCCTTTGAGGGCCCCTTCTGTCATTCTCCTCCAAGGCAGAGGATGGAGGGGGGGCTGCTAGACTAGATGGCCTTTTAGGGCACCTTCCGTCATTCTTCAAGGCAGAGAGAGGGGGCAAAGCTAGAAGACCTCTAGAGGCCCCATCTGTCATTCTAAGGCAGAGGGGGGGGCTCGGTTAGATGACCTCTAGAGGCCTCTTCGGTCATGCTCCAAGGCAGAGAGAGAGGAGGGGGCTCGGCTAGAAGACCTCTAGAGGCCTCTTCGGTCATGCTCCAAGGCAGAGAGAGAGGAGGGGGCTCGGCTAGAAGACCTCTAGGGGCCCCTTCGGTCTTTCTCCAAGGCAGAGAGAGGGGGCGCTCGGCTAGAAGACCTCTAGAGGCCCCTTCGGACATTCTCCAAGGCGGGAAGGTACCCTGGTGGTCATCTAGTCCAACCCCCCCTGCTCAAACAGGAGAACCTTACACAATTGAAGAGTCGGAAGGGACTCCCGGGGGTCATCTAGTCCAACCTCCCCCCCCCCGGCCCCCTCTCCCGTTTCCCCCCCCCCGCCCCGCCCCCCGCAGGCCGGAAGTTCATCATCGCCAACGCCCAGGTGGAGAAGTGCGCCATCATCTACTGCAACGATGCGTTTTGCGACCTCTGCGGCTACAGCCGGGGCGAGGTCATGCAGAAGCCTTGCACCTGCGACTTCCTCTACGGCCCTCGCACCCAGACCAGCGCCGCGGCCCAGATCGCCCAGGCCCTGCTGGGCTCTGAGGAGCGGAAAGTGGAGATTTGCTTCTATCGGAAGGACGGTGAGCGCGTGCTCGCGGGGGAGGGAGGCGGGCGGGGGCACCCTTTCGGGATTGGAGCGGGCAGGGGGTCGGGCTAGATGACCTCTGGGGGTTCCCTTCCGAGTCTGGAGTCTCCTGCTTGAGCAAAGGGGAGGGGTTGGACTAGATGACCTCCAGGGTCCCTTCCAACCTAGTTGTTCAGTATGGGTCTCCGCTTGAGCAGGGGAGGCGGGGTTGGACTAGATGACCTCTGAGTCGGTCCCTTCTGACTCTTAAATTGTGTAATGGTCTCCGGATTGAGTAGTGGGTTGGACTAGATGTCCTCCAAGGGGCCCTTCCGACTCTTAAATTGTGTAATGGTCTCCGGATTGAGCTGGGGGGTTGGACTAGGTGACCTCCGAGGTCCCTGGTCCAGCCCAGTTGTTCGGTATGGGTCTCCGCTTGAGCCGGGGTTGGGGGTTGAGGGTTGGACTAGATGACCTCCGAGGTCCCCTTCCGACTCTCAGCTTGTGTAATGGTCTCCGGATTGAGTAGCAGGTTGGACTAGATGTCCTCCAGGGTCCCTTCCGACTCTTAAATTGTGTAATGGTCTCCGGATTGAGCTTGGGGGGTTGGACTAAATGACCTCCAGGGTCCCTTTCACGTCTGGGGTGCTGTCAATTCTCTTAAAAGTCTCCTGTTTGAGCAGGGGGTTGGACTAGATGACCTCTGAGGTCCCCTTCAAAGTCTCCACTTGTGTGATGGTCTCCGGATTGAGCTGGGGGGGATTGGACTAGATGCCCTCTGAGGTCCCTTCGGAGTCTGGGGTCCTGTAAGGTTCTCCTGCTTGAGGCGGGGGGTTGGACTAGATGACCCACAGGGTCCCTTCCCACCCAGTGGTTCAGGAAGGGTCTCCGTTTGAGCAGGGGGTTGGGCTGGATGACCTCCGGGGTTCCTTCTGGCTATGGTTCTGTCAGGGTCTCTCCTGCTCAAAAAGGGGGTTGGGCTGGATGACCTCCGAGGTCCCTTGGGACTCTTATTCTATAAGTGTCTGGAGTTTGAACGGGGTTGAACTAGATGACCTCCGAGGTCTCTTTCGTCTATGGTTCTGTCAGGGTCTCCTGCTCAAAAAGGGGGTTGGGCTAGATGACCTCCAATGTCCCTTCCGGCTATGGTTCCTGTCAGGGTCTCCTGCTCGAAAAGGGGGTTGGGCTAGATGACCTCCGGGGTCCCCTCCGGCTATGGTTCTGTCAGGGTCTCCTGCTCGAAAAGGGGGTTGGGCTAGATGACCTCTGAGGTCCCTTTCTAACTCACTCCTCCCATCAGTCCTTGACTTACGACAGCTCTTTTTTGGGGGGGGGGTCTGTTGGAAGCAGTCACTAAGCGGAGCGTCGTAAAGCGAGGACTACCTGTTAAAGGGGTAGGAAAAAAAAACAAGTTAGTCATTTTTGGACAGTGTTGTGGTTGTTGGTCGTTGTTTGGAGTTGTGTCATGGGGGGGAGAACTTTTTTATTTTGTTTAATTTGGGGGGGCTTCCCTGTCAGTATTTGTGTTGTATCTTTGTGCGTCTGTGCGTGTGTGTGTGTGTGTGTGTGTCTTTTTGTGTGTTTGTGTGTTTTTGTGTGTTTCTTGTGTGTGTTTTTCTCTGTTTTTCTCTCTTTTTGTGTGTTTTTGTGTGTTTTTGTGTTTGTGGGTGTGTGTTTATCTGTGTTTGTGTGTGTATGTGTTTTTTTGTGTGTGTATGTATTCTGTTTTTTGTGTGTCTGTGTGTGTGTTTTTGTGTGTTTTTGTGTGTATGCGTGTGTATGTTTTTCTGTGTTTTTGTGTTTTTATTTGTGTGTTTGTGTGTGAGTGTATGTGTTTTTGTGTGTCTGTTTGTATATGTGTTTATGTGTGTTTTTATGTGTTTTTGTGTTTTTTTGTGTGTCTGTGAGTTTTTATGTGTTTTTGTGTGTCTGTGTGTGTTTTTGTGTGTTTGTGTGTGTGTGCTTTTGTGTGTGTTTGTGTGTATATGTGTGTATGTGTTTTTGTGTTTTTATGTTTCTGTGTGTGTGTTTTTGTATGTTTGTGTGTGTGTTTTGTGTCTTTTTGTGTCTTTTTGTGAGTCTGTGTGTATATATTTTTGTGTGTTTGTGTGTGTGTGAGTTCTTATGTGTTTTTGTGTGTCTCTGTGTTTTTGTGTGTTTCTGTGTGTGTATGTGTTTTTGTGTATTTTTGTGTCTTTTTGTGTGTCTGTGTGTGTTTCTCACACAATCGTCCTTGACATTCTCACGCCTTCTTCCAAAGGGAAAAAAAAAATGTGTATTTTGAACAAACATATATACACACAGAAGCGGACACAACTTTTTATCAGATAGAACAGAGCCATCAATAGCCGGAAGGGACCTCGGAGGTAATCCAGCCCAACCCCCTTCTCGAGCAGGAGAGACCCCGACAGAATCATATGCCGGAAGGGACCCTGGAGGTCATCTAGCCCAACCCGCTGCTTCTAGCAGGAGAATCCCAGGATCAGAAGGGTGGGAAGGGGCCTAGGAGGTCATCTAGCCCAACCCGCTGCTTCAAGCAGGAGAATCCCAGG